CGTGTTCTTTATGGTTTGTAGCTGTTTTAACTTTGCTTAGGATCATGATCGATTTAGTCATGTGTTTGTTTTTAAAATCCTTACCATTTCATTCTGGTTTTAACTACCACCCATTCTTAGAGCTGAGCTGGCTTTCAATATCCTTCTCCCAGTCTGAGCTTTCCCAGTCCCAGAAAAGAAAATGGATTAGCTGAGGGCTGTTGTTGTGGTGTTGAATTTCTCCTCCTCTATCACAATGTCGTAATGTTTGAGTCAAATGTTTCCAGGGAATAGCAGCTCCGTTAAATAATTCTGTTTCCGGAGGAATTAAAGAAGAAATTCTCCACTTGATCTCATGCACAATATCGCATATTTACAGAAACTAAATATCAGGCATAAACGGACTTGAGAGGGGCCTTTTAACTGACTGCGATATTTTGATCTGCCGGATCCACCCCGGTGATCATTACAACATGTCACTGGGTGCGGGCAGCTGTCCGAACCCTGGACCCGCAGGGCTTTGGGGTGAGCACAGCAGCGGGGCCGAGAGCCAAACCCTCCCTCTGCGGCAGCGTTGTCACACTCGCTTCTCACACGCTCCTCCTGCACGTCCCTCGGTGCAGCTCACTGGTATAAAACCCCTTTTTCCCTGGCGAAATGGGGCACACTGAGGAACGGGCGGTCCCTCCCGGCCGGGGGGACGTTGCCGTGCTCTGCACAAGGTGAGCGTGTTGGGAGGGCTGGAGCTGGAGACCGGGCACAGCCCAAGGGGCTTCGTTCGGGGGGGACAGGACACCTCCAGGCCTCCTGCCTTGATCGTTTCAATCACTTGGGCACCAAGTAGGGTTTGGACAAAAGCTTGGACTGCAACCACGCCAAACACCCCGTGCTGGTCCCAGCGAGGGGCAGACAGCTGCATGGGAGCACTGAGACATCTCCATGGAAGGGGCTGCTGCCTGACATGGGGCAGCCGAGAAAGCACCGATCACATTGTCTCCAGACTCGAAGCTGACCCAGAGCTGTGGCTTCTCCTTTCCAAACCACCACAAGGGAAATGCTGGTGCACCCGCGCCTTACGGAGGCTCCCTGCAAGCAGCTCCCGCAGCTCATCCATGCACCCATCTCCCAGCAGCCCTGAGAGCTATTGGGAATACGGCAGTGGGCTTCTGCCCAAAAAGGTGATGGTGCACCCGGGCTGGTGCCTGCCCTCTCCTCCCTGGCCTTCACTCACCCTGCAAGAGGGGGTGGCCCATCCCCGGGAAAACCCCACATGTCCACAGCGGGAGGTGAAAGGAGCGTGGTGGTCCGCAAGGGGGGGCCGAGGAGGGGTAACACCCCACCGGCACATGGCATCAGCCGGCCAGGGGACCGTCCACACATCTTCTATTTTCGGCGGTGGCAGACCGGGAGCCCAGGACACGCCGTCTTGGCTGTTAAAGCCATGTGAGTTTCCTATTGCTGGAGAGGCACTTGCTCGATGCCCAAAGACACTCGAGCGGTTAATTATGACCTATAGCTCTGATGGATCATATCACCGCTATTTTTAGCTCTCTCACTTCTGGTGCGAGCCCTGTATCTATCTCTTTTCGGCCTTTTATTTTCAGTTTCTTATTGCCGTTTCCTAAACTCGTCTCAGGCACCAGGTGGGCAGCAGCTGGGGAAGTATTTTTGTCTCCATGTGGCACAACAAGACGGCTCTGAGGGTGCGGGGGGACGGGTACAGCTCCGCTCGGCCAGCAGCTGAAACCCAGCCGGAGTCGCAGACGGCATGTGGCAGCTGAGCCCAAAATCAGAGCGCCGTCCCAGGGCAGCCCCAGTGCCCCTCCGGCTGCCCCGGCATGGATGCCACGGGGACGGGCACGGCCGCTCCTGCTGGAAACCGAGACCGCGGTGGGTCCATCTCGGCCATTTCCAAACGCAGCTGAGGATACAGAAATGGGGTGTCATGTGGGTTTTGGGGTGTTGGTTTGGGTTTTGCAGAGCTGAGGTGTGAGCTTGGCAAACGCTGGGGCGCTCTCGGCAGGGGAAGGCGCATCCCTGCTCCAAGTGCAACACCAGCGTGGTCCTCCCAGCACGAACGCAGCAGGATCGTGCAGAGACGAGAGAGCAGGGGGGTGACAAGGGCACAAGTCGGAGAAGATCTCCAAGTACCTCCCTGCTCCAGCCAGGGAAACCGGTGCTGCGTCACCCCTCCCTTGGCATCGGGGCCTCTGGCAGGGACCCAGCGAGCTGGATGGGACAGGAGGAGGAAACCTAGCCCTGGGGACGAGAGTGGGGCCGAGAAAGGAATACTCCATCACTCCTGGCCACCGACGAGGGTACAGAAATAGCTGGTGCCCAGTTCCCTAGAAAGCAGGCACACAGCATAGACACAGATAGGAAAACCCTCCCCTGAAGCAAGCGTCCCTCCGTGCTAGCAGGAGGGCGATCGGGGCAGCGTCCGGCTTCTTCCTGGCGGTGCCACTGCTCCCCTCTGCTCTCCACCGTCTCCGGGCTTCCCAGCATCGCTCCATCCCCTCCGCACAATCCCTTCTCTCTCTGCAGGCCAGGAGTTCATCTGAAGGCTGTCAGAGGGATTTAAGGCTTTGGCAGAGGAATAAAAGGTTTTTGCAGAGAGCTAAACCAGCCCTGCTACTCCATGTAAACTGCCGGTCTGTAAATATCTGGCCCTGACTGGCAGGCTCGCGTCTCCTGCAACATTTTACAGAATAACAAGACATTTCTTGTAAAACAGCAATATAGAAATGCTGTTTTCACAGGTTATTGGTGGATGTCTGTGTCGTAGGCACACAGCTAATCCTGATTTAGTGTGTGCAGCTCCTGTGACTGCATTGCCCAAGTAGAGTTGTATTACTGCCCATCCACCACCCAGCAAGCATCCAGAAGTAACTACACGAATTAACTCTGCAGATTCGGTGTACTAACGCATAACCACACTCGTCTGACCGTCATAAATCAAGCACGCAGCCCTGAAGCAAAACAAAGGGAAGCCACAGCTTAAGTGTGTATATAGGCAATCGGGATGTGGCCAGGTGATGAGTGCCAGAAACTGAGTCCTCTCCAAATCCGTGACAGCCCTCCGAAAGCCTTTGCAGGATGCGTTCCTGGAGAGGATGCTTCCCCGCGTTGGAGAGCGAAGCCCATCTGCTCTGCGGCGAGGCAAGGGCTGCCCGCAGCCCCCGCTGCAGTCAGTGCCGCTCGGCCACAGGCAGTGACTTCCCCTCTGCTAATTAAGGTGTGGGAAACACGTTCAAGGTGGTGCAAGACATCTGGTTACCTCAAAATGAATTTTCCGAACTTAATTATATTTCTCCTCCTGCAACATATGCTCAGGCAAAGATGAGGATGGGACCAATGATAGATGAAACAAGCAGATGCAACAACAGGGGTGGGTTGGGGTTGGGGAGAAGCAGAATCTCAAATCTTGCTGGTATTTGTGGAGTGTATAACTGACAGGAACATTTTAGGGCTATGAATACAAGCTGACGTATGCATGTATGTGCAAGCAGTAATCCTGCTAGGACAGGACATGCCGATCACCTCAGGAGAGAGAATTTTAGGTAGCCTTTTCCAAACGAAATCCTTTCATGGATCCTATAAATAGGATTTATTGTTGCCACGCATTTTTCTTTTTTATTGTCCCTGCTTTTTATGGCTTTTTGTATCAACCTTGGTGCTAAGATTGGGTTTATTTAGTGCACTTTTTATGATCTAGCTCCCCTGCTGCTGGCTGCTGGCTGCTGTTGCAGCCACTCCAGGCAGGGGGGAGACCAAGCCCAGGGTTTCTTTGTGAGATGTTACCAGCTGGATGCTTCCGTCAGTCTTCATGGACAGAGACTCAAGTATTAGTAGCAAATAGCGGATGGCTGCAATCCTGGCATGAATATCAGAAAGGACCATGAGAGTCTCCTTGATTGACAGGCAGATCACAGCAAATGTAATACCAGGGTATTTCTGCTAATTTGTTGGAAAGCGCAGGCTGGTGATGTATAGCACTTACACACATCTCTGCCTGCGGGTAGCGAGTGGAAGTGGAGGCCTCTGAGCACACGGAGTCCCCGTGTGAGAGATTTACATCAAACCAGACGGTGTGGGAGTCCCAGATGCACAGCAAAGGGATGGGGCCAAAACTTAAACCCTTTGAAAGCTTCTTTTCCTCCACTAGCCCTTATGTGAGCAGGGCGATTAATCCTTTGGGCTGCTAAGTATGATTTAATGCACACACTGTGTCTTCCTACCCATTAATTTGGGTGGCACTGGCAAGGTCTTTCTATGTGTATTCAGTTAGTATGAGGAGGTTCACCAGTCCCCCTGGGCAAGGCACTCCATGAGGATTACCAGTAAGAATGTCCCTGTAGCTCTTAACGTACAAACTGGGTGAGAAAACCAGGTTCAAACAGGCGGGTGAGACAACCTGGAGCTGTGCTGCAGAGAGCGCTGATTCAGTGTTGCTCCTCTAGATTGGAAACACAACTTCAACTTCTGCTCATGGGCTGAAAAAAAAAATGAGGAGAAAAGCGTTCTGTAAGGGTTATGTTCATGACGGGCCTCGCCTGAGCCGTGGCTGGAAGCAGCAGCAAGTTTCTCCTGCCTTGGTCCCTCTTCCTCTCACCCCACAGACTTTTTCCATTGCACAGAACATTCATAAAACTTCCCAGGCTTGGGCCGGTCTCCGGCACTTTGAGATGGACGCAAAGCCCACTGGACCCCCGCTACCGAAGTGGATGTGAAAATAAAGCAAGTTGGCTGTTTTTGATCAATGAGGAAAATCGAAATGCGCGTGTCCTGAAAGGAAGCAGGTACTGCTGCACGGGCCTGTCACCCAGGACGGAGAGGGTGACCGGGGGGACCCGCTGTAGCACCCATCTCCAGAGAAACAGCAACCAAACTCCTGAACAGCCGGCATAGCGGCGTGTACACGAGGGCCCTCGCGCTTCGCTAGGCACAGGACATTTGGACAAGGATATTGCTTTTATTGCCTTTTTCATGTGTTACCTCTTTTATTTTAGGGTATGGCTAAAACAGTCCACAGAGTAAAATTCCCGAGTACCAAGGAAGCGGGACGAGAGCCCGGCCTCACCGATCCTCCAGCCTAATGAGCCTAATTATCATCCTGCTCCTAAGAAAGGCAGCAGCAAGTTTGGGAACTGAAGATGATGTTTTGGCAAGGGCGGGTAAAACCAATACTAGCAAGGACTGTCTTGCTTATATTTTGATTTTTGGGTGGGTTTTGAAGGATCTGTCCCATAAGGATCCTCAATGCTATAGTGCCAGCAGCTACCAGGTATTTAGCTGAGAGGTACTTTGGCAGGCAGAGGGTCAGCAGAGCATTCAGGCGCGTGCCCATTGGAATGGCATCTGAAAACACGGCTCAGAAACTTGCTTTCATTTGGGAAACACCCCAGCTCAGTAGGCACATTTTACTGGAAAAGAGAATTTAAGTGCTGAAGAGTAGGATGGAGTTTTCTGCAATGTAATTTTATCTCTGCTAAGGCTTGCAGTCATTTTTTTCTAAATCTGCCTCCTGGCATTGTGTGACTAAAAGAAAATCTGGGGTTTGGGGGGGGGTTCTTTTATGGTTTCTTACCATTCCTCTAATGAAAACGGTACTCAAACATTAACACTAAAAGGTCAATGGCAGGGAACTAGTTGCACTTCAGTAGCCTTCAGGCTTCAAAAAATACCGGGGATTTCTAACTCACAACATCTGAACAGTCAGGACAGGGTTGACGGAGAAAAGAAACGCAGTTGCCCTTTTCCTTCAGCTGCAAAGGCCAGTTCGTATTTGTATCTGTGCAGTGAAATGAGGGATCAGGGAGAGAATTTGGTCTGGGATGGAGGTCGGCTGCTATGTCACTGGAGTAGCATCCAGCCGATGCGCTGGGTAATCTTCTCCCCTGCAGAGCGCCTTTCCCTGCCCTTTTACAGACAGCAGCAGCGATGCCTGTCGGGGCTTGCTGGTGGGTCAGCTGTGATTCCTTGGATCAAATGGCACGATACGCGCCGTCCGCATTTCTCTTGCCTCTCTCCCGTGCCCCGAGCAGCTGTGCTCTATGTCACCTAAACCAGTGACCGAAGCCCTTTGGGCTGGATTACGGCCCAGGAAACACTTGCAGCTTTCCGAAAAGCCTGGGACGGGTGCTAGCTGCCTCCCCGGGATAGCAGCTACCCGGCAAGCGCAGGGTGCAAATCCTGGGGGTGCAGCTCAGCGCTCGAAATATCACCGCTCGGGTGCAGTTTTATTTACCACAGCAGGTCTTGCTCCATGTATTTATTTACTGTTAGTAACAGCAATGCATTCCTACCCAAATGCTTCTGTTGTACTGCTTCAAAATTAACTTTGCAGCTCAGACCATGGCCTTTTGTGAAGATAAGCTGGAAGCAGACCAGTCCCTGGCCGCTGACACCGAGAGGAGTTCGGATCTGGGTTTACTCGGCCTTGCTTGCCTCTCTTTATCATGAGCCAAACCAAAACCTTGGATCCAGCTCCCCATGAATGGTGGTAAACTTTGGATCTGAGCTCCTGTAATAAGCAGTTGTTTGCCCTGGCTGGTGGCTTAAGACTCTGTAGAACAAGATATTTCTAGGTATTATTTCTAAATGGAGAATGACAGTTGAAAGAAGAACCTTGTCCAGCCAACTCATGTGTCCGACTCTTTGGCTTTCCAGGGGAAATGAGTAACTAGAATGAGACAATGAACGAGAGAAATAACATTTAACTGGTATCGTAATGAACCTCGAGCAGTCTCCCTCCGTGGATAACGTGCAAATTATCTTCATTGCCATTCTGTGAGTTTTTAAAAGAGGCTGCTAGTTATTTGCCAAATCCCCTGAAACACAATTGGAATTGAGCAACAAATTCCCAGTGGTCTCATTTGAAAATCCCAGCCATCTCCCTACAGGGAGGTAGAGCTCCAGGTTAAATACACCATAAAAAGACTTGGATTTCTTTGTGTGGGATGGCAGCATAGAGAGGGAGGATGATTATGTTGTGCATCACTAACAGACCATCGAGCCCGTGAAGCCATGAGGTTTTGGTACCGGTTCCTGGATAGCTGGAAGGTTAATTTGGCCACGAAAGCAGAGGTGGATTTTGAAATGAGCTCGTGCTGCCTGACTGCTGACTGTCAACAGCAGGCTGAGATGGGTGGAAAAGAGAAGGTAAACTAAGACCTGGCAAAGGCTCCTCGTGGTCCTTGGGAGGCAAACTGGGGATGTGCGCACCGCAGGGACCCAAGTGCGTGCCCAAAGCCCCAAACTAGCTTTGAACGAGCCATTTCAGCCAGCAGCCACAGTGCGGCTGGGTGGGTTAGCCACCCCCCAGGGCTCGGGCAGGTTTTGCAGCCTGTGCTGAGCTCTGCCTGGCTGGGACCTGCCGGCAGCGCCAGCCTCGCCGTCAGAGTCCTTTGGGCAATGGGGTGCTGCTTGCATTGCAAAAGGCTCAGCCTTTTTCCTGGGGTTGAAACAGAAACCACACTGAAGAGCTAATAGCTCTTCAAAAACTACTTTTGAGTTAACTGTTGGGGGATTTGGCTTAGGTAAAGCTTACGAAGAAATTCTCCTCATCTTGGTCTCTGTGCAACCTTCTGGCTGCTTGAAATATTGGGAAGAGAGGAAAGGAGGGAGAGATCTGGAGCTGCCCTGCCATCTAACTGCCTTAGTTTGGATATAAAACATCAGGGAATTCAGTCTTCTGGCTGTACATGTTCTCAAAGTGCAGCCAACGGTGCAGCGGAGGAGTAAAGCAGGCATCGCTCTTCTCTGGGCAGCGAGCATCACTGCATGTTCGCCTTTGTGCCTGTCCGGCCTCCAGGAAGCGGAAAGCAGAAGGTGCTCAATCCCTCCCCTCCAGCCGCCATGCGCACACCCAGATGTGCACATGCAACCAAAACAGAAACTGGGCTACAGCAAAGGATACGCAGGAGGCACGTGACACTGCATATATGTTTGTTTTTAAGATTATCTCTTCAGCCTTTCTTCATTAAAAAGCAAACGGCGTTTTACATCTCATAAGCTCTCGCTTAGTTCTCCAGCAACCCTTCCGAGTGTTAACTAGATGATCTTCACAATTTCTTTATGAAGTGGGTAAGCGACACAATCCCCGTTTTTAAGGCAGATAAACTATCAAAGCAAAAGACCGCTCGCTCGCACACGCGTCAGCACCCCGCCAAGAGCATGCGAGGTTGAGCCGGCCCATCCAGCCAGCCGCCGCACGGCGCACGGCCGCGGTGCTGGTGCGGGAGGTGGCGGCGG